GCATGAAATAATCACACAGAGACAGAGAAATGCCTTTTTCTTTGGGTCTTATGATGGCTCCTCTGACCTTAGGGGTCCGTGGAGAGAGAGAGGGAGGGAGGGAGGGAGAGAGAACACACATACTGAACCCTTGCATTGGGAAGAAGTCATTCAAATGAGGCAAGGGGTCAGGTTTCAGGGGGTTGAGTCGAGCTTTGTGATGTCTTCTGTCAGCAGGTGACTGACATCTAGGAAGTCCTTGCCCAAAGGCAGAGCAAGAGAAGGGGACACACAAAGGGAGTTTCCATTGAATATTCTATCCCAAACAGGGCAAAGGGATAGGATTACAAAGGAATAAGTGAGTGTAGCTGAACCCCAGGGGTATGCCTACTCAGAAGACTGGCTTTGATATCCAAGGAGGTCACTGCCCAAGCCACAATGAATGTGGTGGTTGGTCAGAGCCTGGTGCATCAAGACTGGAAGGTGTGGTCATTTAGAGAGGCTCCCCACAGGCCTGGGTTCATCCTCAGCACCGCATATAAATAAATAAAATATCCACTTACAACTAAAAAAAAAAAAAAATCAAAAGCCAAGAAAAGATTGGGTGTTTGAAACTTATTACAGCTCTTGCCTGGCTTGCATGTGGCTCTGGGTTTGATCCTCAGCACTGGAAAAAAAAAAAAAAGATTTATTAAGTGAAACATAAATGAGGGAAAACAGGGAATGGAAGAGCAAAGACAGAGAAAGCCATCGGACTGCAATGCATGTATGACCCTTGGAAAGGAGAGAGAGGGTAGGAAAGCAATTTGATGGGAGAATCCTGGAATGAAGTGCGATCTATAGGGTTTTACCAGGTCAATGAGTGAAAGGCGAGTGACTCACCCGAGGCAGATTCAACCAAGAGATTTTTTTGAGAGGCTGCCCAAAGGAGAAGAAAAGGAGAGGCAGAGAGAAGAGAGGAGGAGGGCAGAGAGGGAGAGGAAGAGAGCACAGAGAAAGAAAGAGAGCAGAAAGAGGAGAGAAAGAAAAGAGGGCAGAGAGAGAGAGGAAGAGGGCAGAGAGCGTGAGCTTGCAAGCTTCAGCTTAAGAAGGGTTGCACAGTAGTGGTTGCAGATAGTCCCAGCTACCCATGGAGCTGAGGCAGGAAGATCACTTCAGCCAGAAGATTGAGGCCAGCCTAGGCAACATAGCAAGACCCTGTCTCCTGTGTGTGTGTGTGTGTGTGTGTGTGTGTGTGGAGAGAGAATGATCTCAGAGTGATTTGAATGAAACATTTACTGAACAACTTTTTCCACTGTTTGATTTGATTAGTGTATGTTTCTGATAGCCCTAGCACAACCTTTTGGAGCCTTAGGATAATGCAGATAAGAGACCACTCTGCCTTACAAAATTTCAGGATATTAAGTTGCTGTGTTAAAAGCTGCTGAATACCATGTACAAAAGGACATGTCCAAAGTATCCATTCTTTAACAAACATACTTTGATTCCATGAAATTTCATTCCCATTACATTATTCAACCCTTTGCCCACCATAACAACATTCAGGGGTGGTGACAGGTGAGTAAGCCTAGCACTGCAACCTTACACCTCAGAGTCATTGGCCAAAGGTATTTTCCTATACTTCTACTTTCCAACCACCTAAGACATCTGGCTCCACATCTTGGTATGTGGCAGTTCCCTCCATGTTTATCATCAACAAATCAGAACAACACTACAAAGCTAACCTATGGGGCTGGGGATGTGGCTCAAGCAGTAGCGCGCTCGCCTGACCTGCGTGCGGCCCAGGTTCGATCCTCAGCACCACATACCAACAAAGATGTTGTCTGCCAAGAACTAAAAAATAAACATAAAAAAAAAAAAAGCTAACCTATGAACTGGGGAAAAGTAAGGGATTATCATTCTCAAACAAAGGAGTATAGACTGGGTTCAATGTTTAAGAGCTTGTAACAACAAATCTCACTATTATGTATAACTATAAAGCATCAAAAAAAGTGGGGAAAAAAAAGAAAATGTATATACTTATTTTTTAAATAAGTCATAAAATTTATACAAATCATTCCTTATAAGGTAAGGAAGAGAACAGACTAGAAAATACCAAATACATTTAAATCCATAAGCCCAGGGTTATAATTCTTAAAACCTGATTAATTTTGAAGGTTGCTAATAAATGAACTCATTACTTTGAAAAACAGTAAATAAAAAGAACCAAGCATTGCTATGTCTGAATAGCTATGCCTCCTCCCATTCACACATTGAAATCCTAACACCAAAGTGATGGTACTAAGAGATGGGGCCTCTGGGGAAGTTGTTTAGGTCATCAGGACTTTGCCTTCATGGACTAGTGCCCTTTTAAGAGACCCCAGGCATGCTGCCTTTCCTATGCAAACTGCAGTACAATGGTGTGATATCTTTTAAAGATGCATACAAAATATTTACAGTTGAAATCATAAAAAAAAAAAAGCTGGGTTTTGCTTTAAAACAATACATGGAAAAATAAGTGGTCATGAGTTGACACGTCAGTAATCCCAGGTTGCTGGGTTAGGAAGCTGAGGCAGGAGGATCTTGTGTATTTTATTTAGAGACTGGGTCTCAGTTGCTTAGCACCTTGCTTTTGCTGAAGCTGGCTTTAAATTTGTGATCCTCCTGCCTCAGGTGCTGGGATTATAGGCACATGCCATCACATACTACCATCTTGACAGGGTAACTGGTTAACAGAAATAACTACAATAGAAGTAAGCAGCAGCCAGGTAATCTACTTGGGTGCTATCAGTTCCCTGTTGCTGTTGATACCAATTACCACAAATTTAGTGGCTCCAAGTAACATTAATTTATTAATTTACAGTTCTATAGGAGAGAAGCTGGACATACCTTAGGGGTTAAATTAAAGTTACATCACTTTCAGAAGGCTCTAGAATGGAGTCTGTTTCCTAGTCCTTCAGGAGTTAGCAGCACAATCCCACTCAGCATAGGACTGAGAATTCTACTTTCTTGCTGGGTACCACCTGAGGGACACCCTTAAAAACTACATAACTATCTAGTTGTTGACAGTTTCAAACATTCCAGAACCAACAAGTTACCACAGATAGGAAAGGTTTTCTGCTTTTAAAAACACATCCAGGCTTATTTCCGCATCTCAAAGCCCTCAACTTCATCCAAGTCAGTGAAGTCTCTTTTGCCACTTCAGGCAACATTATTCACAGGTCCCAAGAGTTAGGAAATGGACATCTTTGGAGGATGATTATTCTGCTCACCACAGATACAGCTTGCTTCTTCCTCCCACAGCTATAACATAAAGCTCTTGTGTAGCAAGAGAAGGGTGTGAATCAAAGGCTCCAAACACTTCAGTAATGAAAATTAGGTTTCCACCACTAGGTATCATTGTGATAAAAAGATGAAAGGAATTTAGTATTTATAGCCCCAAGACAAACTGCAGCAATAGGGTTTGTAATTAGTCCCATGTTTCTCCGAATCATTAACACTCATGGGGAAAGTAATCTGCTTATAACACCCACATCTCTTTTCAAGGGAACAATCTACAGGTATCTGAGTGCCTTTGGAATTAGTGTCACACTGATACCATACTACTACCAATGACAAAAGGAAAAAGTACTATAGGCCACTTCTTCTAACATGTAGCCTTTGGAAACTCTATTAGCAGGACCAGAAATTTCTCAGTGATGTGATAGTCTGAGGTCCTTCCTAGCCATTCTTCCTATTCCTAAAAGCTAAGACCTTGGTGAACAGTAGCTATATGTAGACCTCCCAAAACTCACTGTAAGCAGATTTGCAATATCTAGGGGACAACAGATTCCTGGCTACTAAGAGTAGATTCCCTGGCCTCTATACCTCAGATGCTAACAAGTCTAAATCTGAGTCAGCTATATGCTAATGGCCTATATATCACTTAAAAACAATAATGGGATCTCTCTAACCATATTGCAAGAACAGTCATATTCTTGTTAAGTTGGGTAAGGTTTGCCTTTGTGGGTAAATTGAAAAGGATTAGGAAATCAAAAGCACAGGGAACCACCAACTGAAAAGCATCACTACTTAAGAGATGACCTTCTTATGGCCCTTCAGAGTCATTTTTGACTGTTCTCTGGATATAGAGTTTAGATAGTGTGACTGGATAAACTCTTCTATGCCCCTTACTTCAGTTCTTAAAGACATTAACCTTTTATCAACACAATTATTTTCTAGCATAGGTACCTTAACCCTAACCAAACATCTATCTTTAGCCTACTTTCCCAACGTTCAGCATCAAAATGAAATCCTGGCGGGCCAGGGATATAGCTCAGTAAGACTATGTTGCCTAGCACACAAGGCCCTGGGTTCAATCTACAGCACAAAAAATAATCTTAAAGGCTGGGGCTGTAGCTTAGTGGTAGAGCACCTGCCTTGCACATGAGGCCCAGGGTTTGATCCTCAGCACCACAAAATGAATAAAGATATTGTGTCCATCTACAACTAAATAAATCTTTTAAAAAATAACTAACCTTGACCATTTGTGTACATTTTGGCCCTACAGAGTCCTGGGGATTGAAACCAATACCCTGCACATGCTAGGCAAGTGTTCTTCTACTGGGCTATGTCCCCAACCTATTTTTTATTTTGAGACAAGACCTCACTAAATTGCTGAGGCTGGCCTCAAACTTGCAATCCTTCTGCCTCAGTCTCCCAAAAGGCTGGGACTACAAATGTGTGCTACAGTGCCCCGCAGCTCTAGAGAATGACAACCAGGCGCAATCTGTAAGGAAAAAAAGGGAGTAGGGGTTGGGGAATCTAAGTAGAAAGTGGGAAAAAAAAGGAGATATTTTTTAACTGATTGGCTTTCATAAGGAAATTTCTTCCCTTTCCTTTACTTCCAGTTTTTACCTTATTCTTGATACCAAACTGAGGTACTAAAAATTTATTTATTCCCCAGGACAGAACTATACCTGCCTTATTTTCCATCTCCCAAAGACAGCTCCCTAATAAGACATACATTCAAATACAAACAAAACACGCATTCAATTCAGGCAACTGTTTTACATTTTCATAACATTTTAACATTTAATAGAAACTATATACAATAAATTTTTACTATATTTTACATAAGATAGCCACTGCAGAAATTTACATAGATTACAAGCAAGATGAATAGTTAAGGTGGGCCCAGTCCTTAACTGTCTCAGGATAAGGATGGGAGTTCACTGGAGAAAGGGTGCAAACTGTTCAATTAAGTGGAGATGAGGAAAAGCTAAACTGTAGGCCTTTAGATAAAGATAACCAGGTACTGGGGCGACCAATATCTCAACGGCACCATTTAAAAAAACAACCCTCACCTAATCATCTATGTGGATTTCTGTCTGTGACTTAAGAAATCCCATTACAAAGAATCACTTTCCCCTTTGGCACAGTCCCAAATACTGAATTTCAGAGATAGGTAATCCCTATCTTCCTTGCCCATGGTGGAAAGAAACACAACTTTGACACTACTGGCCCATCCCCCTAAGTATGGTTTTATTTAACTACGGCATTCTATAACCCAGAACAAAACTGGGTTGCCCCTGTTTAGTGAGAGATGATCAGAGATACTTGTTTGAAGAATGAGAAAGTGAAATCCACGGAAGTCATATGGTTCCCAGAACAAACTGTCAACTGCTAGGAGTGGATTCCGGTTTTCCATTTGCAGTAGCCAATCCACTTTGAGGCAATGGTGCACAGGCTTTCTCAGAATTTCGAGATCCCTGGGACCTGTAACCATCTCCAACCATTTGCATCTGGCCCTATTAAAGGAATAAAGGTACTTTGATTAGTAAAGCATTCACTGGAAGAGAGGATGGGGAGGGGAATCAGGAATGACAAGAGAATGAATCAGATATAAATTCCCTATGTTCACATGCGAATACACAAACAGAGTAACTCCACATCATGTTCAACCACAAAAATTGTATCCTACTTACTTAGAGTAAGTTATACTCCATGTATGTATAATATGTCAAAATACATTCTACTGTCATGTATATCTAAGAACAAATTAAATTTTAAAAAAAAATTTAAGTCTCATGAAGGAAAAAAAATCATTCTCGATGCTCTGAAACCTTAATTATGAATCTATCAATTCCCATTTATATTCAGTATATTAAAACAACTCTGGGGAGCTGCTCTTCCCAATACTGCCTAATCTTAAAGAGTCTGAAATCATTACTTGGCATTCTTGAAGCTCTCCCAATGGAAGAGAGAACCGTGGATTGTTTCTTCCAAATGAAACAGCCATTCTCAACTAAGATCCCAGAACAGCCAATGAACCATAGAAGATAAGTTTTTTAGGCCTCTGCTTGAAACCAACAGCTATAGTGTAACTGCTGGTCTTCAGTCAGGGCCACTGGTATCCAACCTCAGAGAAAGAAGCCAAATCACTACTGGTCCTTATTCTACAATGAGAATAATTCCATTAATGAACTCTCCCTTAAAAGGCACAATTTAGCCAAGCATAGTTGTGCACATCTGTAACTTGGAAGGCTGAAGCAGTAGGATCCCAAGTTCGAGGTTAGTCTTAGCAACTTTAGCAAAACCCTATCTCAAAATCTGGGATGTAGCTCATAGCACGCCTGGATTGAATCTCCAGTATCAAAAAAAAAAAAAAAAGAAAGAAAGAAAAAAATTTACTTACATTTCTTGTCTTAACCTTTCATTTTAAAAAATATGAAAACTAGGGACCATTATTCTAAGGTCCATCTAGAAAACTGGAGCAAAAGGGCCCTAAGAAGCAGAAAAAGGCTTCTTTCATTCTCTCATTTATTCATTTGCAATTCTGGGGATGAAACCCAGGGCCTAACATATTCTTAGGAAGTATTTTGTCACTGAGCTACACCCAGCCTCAAAATGATATTTATTAAAAGTACCTTCCTTGTATGGTATTCATTAAGCAAAAGCTATTTGGGGACAGGCATCTTTATACTCTACTTGTGATGAGACCCACACTCCCTGGAGTACAGTTAGCAAACAAGGATCGCTTTGCCTGACCAGGTCACTATATGATGGAAGGCTAATTGGGATTGTTCTTCACTTGCCAAGATATCCACTGGGCCTTCAGCAATTTCTTTGATTGAATGATCTTCAAGGGTTAATGAAGGATCAAAAAGCAAGGGTGAAGGAGGGCACTGCATACCATCACCAACAACATCCAAGTCCTACAAAAGAAAGAGAAAACCCTATTAGCAATACTAAGGGTACCAATAAACTGAAGTTGGCATGTTTTTCAGCAAACCTCAAAGCAATTCTGAGGTCCCTCCCTTACCCCTTGCCTACCAGAATGTTCAACAAATGAGACAAGATCCAAAAGCACTGAGAATTTTTTCTTGCTGCTGATTATGAAGCACAGACCAGTATAGTAGCTTTAAAAAAGCAAATTCCTAGGAAAATTCATAGAAAGTAGAACAGTGGTTACCAGGGGCTGAGGGAAAGGGGAAGAGGAGAGTTATTATTTAAAAGGTACAGAATTTATGCCAGGGTTGATGGAAAAATTCAAGAAAAGTACAGTAGGAATGGTTGTACAACACACTGAACATTGTTAATTAGCACTGTACACTTAGGAACAGTTAAAAATAAATTTTGTTATACATATTTCACCATAGTAAACAGTATTCAAAAAAAAAAATATTCTGAGGTTACTGGAGTCAACATTTAAGTTAACCAGTCATGAATCTAATGATAATCAGCAGAAGCATAAATTAAAATTAAATATTGCTTTAAAACTTTGGGCAATATGAGATTGTATGATCAATGTCCAAAGAGCCACAATGCATGCAAGTGAAAGAGAGAAAAAGAGACAGTAGGAAAGGAGGGAACAGGAAACTCAAAAGACATCTGAAATATTATTCTGATTAAAACCCTATCCTCACAGAATAATTCATTTTAAATCTAACACAGTTCAATTGTTCTGTTAAAAAAAAAAAAAAAAAGACATTGCTAGACATGGTGATGTATTCTGTAATCCCAACAACTTGGGAAGCTGAGGCTAAAGGATCCCAATTTTGGAGATATAGCTCAGTTAGTAGAGTGTTTGTCTTGTATGCAGAAGGCCCTGGGTTCAATCCCCAGCACCACAAAAAAAAAAAAAAAAAAAAAATCCCAAATTTAAGACCAACCTGGACAACTTAGCAAGATGCCATCTCAAAACAAAAATAAAAAGGACTGGAGATATAGCTCACTGGTATAGCTCTTGCCTAGCATGCCTAAGACCCTAAGTTCAACCCCAAATACCATAAAACAAATATCAGAAAAAGAAATATTCTAAACCACATTTCTTCCAAATGAATTGGCCATTCCCACTGAGATACTGAATAGCCAACAGACCAAGGGAAGTTATCTCTTGGCTCCCATTTGAAACCAACAGCTACAGCAAACATTGGTCTTGATTCAGGGCCTAAGGCATGGCAAAGGTTCAAGTGATACATCAACCTAACTTCCACGCCACTGCTAGGAATCTAACGCTAAATTCCCCCTCCCCCATAAAAATACCCAAGGGTTGGTACCCTTTATAGAGGTACAATGCTTTTAACTATCTAGCTTCATGAGAAGCTTAGTTTATGCTTTAAAATAAGTCAAAGAATTTGCAGTCCTTTCCTCTTTTGTTGATGTGCCAATCAGAAAGAGAAAGAAAGAAAGAAAGAAAGAAAGAAAGAAAGAAAGAAAGAAAGAAAGAAAGAAAGAAAGAAAGAAAGGAAAGAAAGGAAAGAA